TGCCTGCGTGGTGTCACCCAATGGCGTCGTCTCGAAGTGTCACGTGATGATGGAACTGGGAGGGACTGGGAAGGAACTGGGAAGGAGCTGGGATGAACTGGGAGGGAACTGGGATGAACTGGGATGAACTGGGAGGGACTGGGGAGGGACTGGGATGAACTGGGAGGGACTGGAACTGGGGGTGGACTGGGATGAACTGGGAGGGACTGGGGGAGAAATAGGAGGGAACTGGGAGGAACTGGGATGAACCTGGGATGAACTGGGAGGCAACTGGGATGAAATGGGAGAGAACTGGGAGGGAACTGGGCAGACTGGGAGGCAATGGGGGAGAACTGGGAGGGAGGGGGAGGGAACTGGGAGGAACTGGGAGGAACTGGGAGGGACTGGGAGGGACTGGGATGAACTGGGAGGGACTGGGAGAGAATGGGGAGGGAACTGGGATGAACTGGGCAGACTGGGAGGATACTGGGGGGAACTGAAATGAAATGGGAGAGAACTGGGAGGGAACTGGGGAGGGACTGGAAGGAACTGGGATGAACTGGGATGAACTGGGAAGGAACTGGGAAGGACTGGAACGGGGGGTGGACTGGGAGGAACTGGGATGAACTGGGAGGGAGTGGGAGGAACTGGGAGAGACTGGGATGAACTGGGAGGGAGTGGGAGGGGAACTGGGATGAACTGGGAGGGAACTGGGATGAACTGGGAGGGATTGGGAGGAACTGGGAGGGACTGGGATGAACTGGGAGGGAGTGGGAGGAACTGGGAGGGAACTGAGATGAACTGGGAGGGACTGGGAAGGAACTGAGATGAACTGGGAGGGACTGGGATGAACTGGGAGGAACTGGGAGGAACTGGGAAGGAACCATCTGAAAATTTCCCCTTTGTTTTATTTGACTGTAAAACACGGAGAGGAGAAACGGCCCTGGGAGCCCAAAATGGGGGCGCAAAGTCCTCCAAGGGACCCCAAGGTCCTCCAAGGGACCCCAAATGGAACTGGGGGTCCTCCGGGGGTCCCCAAAGTCCTCCAAGGTCCCCAGAGTCCTCCAGGGGTCCCCAGAGTCCTCCAAGGGACCCCAAGTCCTCCAAGGGATCCCAAATGGCATTGAGGGTCCTCCGGGGGTCGCCAAAGTCCTCCAAGGGACCCCAAGGTCCTCCAAGGGACCCCAAATGGAACTGGGGGGCCTTCGGGGGTCTCCAAAGTCCTCCAAGGTCCCCAGAGTCCTCCAGGGGTCCCCAGAGTCCTCCAAGGGACCCCAAGTCCTCCAAGGGACCCCAAATGGCATTGAGGGTCCTCCAGGGGTCGCCAAAGTCCTCCAAGGGACCCCAAGGTCCTCCAAGGGACCCCAAATGGCATTGGGGGTCCTCTGGGGGTCCCCAAAGTCCTCCAAGGTCTCCAGAGTCCTCCAGGGGTCCCCAGAGTCCTCCAAGGGACCCCAAGTCCTCCAAGGGACCCCAAGGTCCTCCAGGGGACCCCAAGTCCTCCAAGGGATCCCAAATGGCATTGGGGGTCCTCCAGGGGTCCCCAAAGTCCTCCAAGGGACCCCAAGTCCTCCAGGGGACCCCAAGGTCCTCCAGGGGACCCCAAATGGCATAGAGGTCTTCCAGGGGTTCCCAGAATCCTCCACGTGACCCCAAATGTCACCGGGGGTCCTCCAAGCGTCCCCAAATGTCACTTGAGGTCACCCAGGCCATTCCAAGAATGTCCCCAAGTTGTCACTTCAGTCCTCCAAGCACTCCAGGAGTGTCCCTTCAGTCCTCCAAGATGTCACTTCAGTCCTCCAACCACTCCAGGAGTGTCACCTGGGTCCTCCAAGATGTCATTTCAGTCCTCCAACCACTCCAGGAGTGTCCTTTCAGTCCTCCAAGATGTCACTTCAGTCCTCCAACCACTCCAGGAGTGTCCCTTCAGTCCTCCAAGATGTCACTTCAGTCCTCCAACCACTCCAGGAGTGTCACCTGGGTCCTCCCAAGTTGTCACTTCAGTCCTCCAAGCACTCCAGGAGTGTCCCTTCAGTCCTCCAAGATGCCACTTCAGTCCTCCAACCACTCCGTGAATGTCACTTCAGTCCTCCAAGTCACATTGGGGTCCTCTGGGTGTCCCCAAGGTGTCACCAGGGATCCCTGCCTGTCCACGAGATGCCACTGAGGTCCTCCAAGATGTCACCGGGGGTCCTCCAACCACTCCATGACCACTGTTAAGGTCCTCCAAGGTGTCACTGGGGTCCCCAAGGTGTCACTGGGGTCCTCCAAGATGTCACTGTGGGACCTCCAACCACTCCAGGACCACCACCAGGGTCCTCCAAGGTGTCACCTGGGTCCTCCAAGGTCACACCGGGGGTCCTCCAACCACTCCATAACCACCATTGGGGTCCTCCAAAGTCACCAGGTCCCCAACCTCTCCAGAAATGTCACCAGGGTCCCCCCAAGGCCTCACTGGGGTCCTCCAGAATCTCACTGATGTCCTCCAAGGTCTCACCGGGGTCCTCCAAAGCATCACCAAGGTCCTCCAAGTCATCACCAGGGTCCTCCAACCTCTCCATAACCACCGAGATCCCCCAGAATGTCACCTTGGGGGGGTCCCCAACCTCTCCAGAAGTGTCACCGCGGTCCCCCAAGGTGGCACCAGGGTCCTCAAAAGCATCACCAGGGGTCCTCCAAGTCATCGCTGAGGTCCTCCAGCCTCTCCATAACCACCGAGATCCCCCCAGAGCATCACCAGGGGTCCCCAACCCCTCCAGAAGCATCACTGGGGTCCCCCAAGGTGTCACCAGGGTCCTCCAAAGCATCACCAAGGTCCTCCAAGTCGTCAACAGGGTCCTCCAGCCTCTCCATAACCACCGAGATCCCCCCAAAGCACCACCAGGGGTCCCCAACCCCTCCAGAAGCATCACTGGGGTCCCCCAAGGTGTCACCAGGGTCCTCCAAAGCATCACCAAGGTCCTCCAAGCTGTCACCAGGGTCCTCCAAAGCACCACCAGGGTCCTCCAAGCTGTCACCAGGGTCCTCCAACACACCACCAAGGTCCTCCAAGTCGTCGCCGGGGTCCTCCAGCCTCTCCATAACCACTGAGATCCCCCCAAAGCACCACCAGGGGTCCCCAACCTCTCCAGAAGCGTCACCAGGGTCCCCCATGGTGCCACCAGGGTCCTCCAAAGCACCACCAAGGTCCTCCAAGTCGTCGCCGGGCTCCTCCAACCGCTCCATCCCCCCAAAACGTCACCTGGGGGAGGCCGGGGTTCCCCGACCTCTCCATAAACGGGGGATGGGTGAAGACGGAAGGCTGGAGAAGGAGCTGGGGGCCCCACGGCGGGCGCCTTCACTTCTGTCTCTGGAAGAGGAAGAGGCGCAGGTTGATGTTTTTGGCCGCCAGCAGTTTGTTGCACTCCACCGAGTCGACGATGGGCAGCGGGACGTAGTCGGTCTCGTTGCTCTCGTTGGTGAAAACGAAGTGGTAAATGACCGGGTTGATCTGGACGTCGTCGTAGGGACCCTCGAGGAGGAGGAAGGAGCATTCGAGGGGGGAGCTGACTTTGCTCTTGAGGATGAGCTGGAAGGACAGCGTGCGCTTGCACGACAGGTTGGGGTTGCGCTCGGAGTCGTTGACGCGAGCCTTCAGCACCCACGTCTGGTTGAGGACCGTCAGCCGCTGCGTCTCGTAGTACAGCCGAGTGATGAAGTCGTCCGTGCGGTAAGGGCGGAACTGAACCTCTGTGCGGGGGGAGAGCAGGGGGTGAGGGGGGCAATGGGGGCAATGGGGGCATTGGGGG